ACTTGAACCAACCTCACAGAAATGCTTATAGAATGCAAGTTCCTCTGACAAGGTTTCCCAAGATACACTTTATTATTGCCTTCTGTTCTCAAGCTCTGATTCTGTGTGGTGAGGCAACAAATGCCCTTAGATCCCCCTGGCATCTGCAGGAAGTGAGTGCTTTCTTTGCAGGACTGGGCCCCAACTGTAGTTCACTGATTACAACAAATGTGACAGTTGTTAGCCAGGTTGCTTTATGAACTACTAGAAGGCACTCAGACTGCAGTGATAACAGTGGCATAAGAACTACAGAAGAAAGAATAGAATGTGGGGCCAGCCTCTGATCACTGAGGCCAGTGGGAACTGTACAGGTGCATTTGAGGTGGCATTTAGGAAAGCACGGTCGCACCTGGCCCAGACTTGAACGAAAACACTAATATAGCCCTTCTCATATCCAGGAAAGAATGAGCCATTCACATCAGTGGGGATATTGCTGCTGAAACGTCTTAGGTGGGTAGCCTGAAAGGACATGGAGACTGGGTCTGATCCAGTGCCCTTGAAAGGGGCTGGGCTGGTGCGAGTGCTAACGTGCATGGTTGATAGCCCAGAGGTCACAAGTTTGGGGCTTGCTGAAATTCTGCTGAATACCTTGTCACACAAGGGCACAAAGAAGGGGGAAGGAAGGCACTGGAGAGGATTCAGTTGACTTTTGTGAGCTTTGAATGGAGCCTTTGGTTTTCCTCTCTGTCTCCTGATGAAGGGTTGGGCACATTTCATTTAAGGATAACAACATTTCCATGCTTACGGGGAGCTCGAGGTGCTGATGGGTAGGCATAGGTGTAGATTGAGGCAGTTGGATACTCCTGGAGATTACTGGTTTCTCTTAACATATCTGTTTTAATAAATGGAAGATGAATCACATTAGTAAACGTAAACTCCTTGCATGGATCTTACCCTTTTTACCTACAAACCTCAAAGTGCTTTGCAAGAATGAATCTGGCTATTGGAGGCATTGATCACCTTGATATCAAGGCAATGAACTTTTCTAGATGCAAGGAGAAGGTGCTGGACTGAGTTGGTGTGGGGTAGGATGTAGATCTGATATTTTCTGGAGGCTGCATGTGATTCTGCATAATGTAACTTCTCACTTAAAAACTAATGACATTTCCAGAGGTTCTAGTTTGGAAGACAAGCTTATGAATATGAAGCAGCCACAAGGGAAGAAAAAAATAA